GGGGAACTCCAGACAGAGCTGCTCTACTGGAGGAACTGGGGAACTGCAGACTGCTCTACTGGGAGAACTAAGGAACTGCAGACTGCTCTACTGGGAAACTCCAGGCAAGAGCCGCGACCTGGCTGATGGCCGCTATCTCCTGGCCCGAACTGGGGGGGTCCTGTAGCAGGATAGGGGGGTTTTCAAGGGTGTCATCATACCTCAGGCTGGGCTCAGCCAGCAGGGACACTTACATAGCCCTCTGCCCCTCTCCACACTGACACACGCACACTGCGCAGGGCACGCACACACTCCTGTGCGGGCACTTACCCCGAGCTCAGTCACTAAAATGTCTGTGATGCTGCCCAGGACTGTCACAAAATCAAAAATATTCCAGGCGTCCCGAAAATAGTTCTGTCGGGAGAGGGGTAGGGGCGAGACAGAGAGAAAGCACAACAGTGTGAGTCAGCTGTCCCGCGCAGCGCAGTGAGGGGGCCCGGCCCGGAGGACACTCACCAGGATCCCGAACGCAATGATCTTCAGCAGGCACTCCATGGAGAACAGGGTGGTGAACACGATGTTCAGGTTCTTCAGCACTGACTCGTAGGTCAAAGAGGCGCCATTGTACTGGAGGCATCGGACACAGACACAGACAGGGGAGAGAGAGGAGAGTCAGCACCCGAGCCGGCTCGGAGTCAGGGCGCGGAGCAGCGCTGCAGTGGCGAGCTGTCACCTTCATCATCAGCACGATGGTGTTGAGCGCGATCATGGCCATGATGGTGTACTCGAAGGGCGGCGAGACCACGAACTGCCACATGCGGTACTGGAAGCTCTGCTTGTTCTGCGGCATGTGGCGGGTCAGGGGCTTGGCGCTGATGGCAAAGTCAATACAGGCTCTCTGGAGAGGACAGAGCAGGGCAGTTACCACACACACGCACGCACGCACATACACAGATACAGACAGATACAGATACACACACACAGACACATACACACACACGCACACACACACAGATACAGACAGATACAGATACACACACACA